TGCTTCTTGTGGGCCTTATGGACAGGTGCTGAGAAAAGCCTTTGCTACGTTAATCGGTGTGCACCATATACTAGGAGGTGCGTTCATCTGCTCAAGTGCCGCCGCAGCTGGACAGCGGCTGCAGGTGGGGTCACTACTTGATTAAGCCGGTGACAGCCGGTTGCCATTCTGCATCATCCATGTGTCTTTGCACCATGAAGGAGAGTTAGAGGGAGACGTGGCGAGAGCAACCACGCCTGCATCTGTCAAGTCCCTGATGGTGGCACTAACCTCTGCAGGTCCTCCAGGGCTGCAGTACTGCCTGTGGTTCACCGTTTCCCCTGGCAGAGGCAACGCCAATAGCTTAGCTCTTCCGACCACAACAGCCCACGCTGCACAGGTCACAGGGCCAATGTGGGCGTTCTGCCAGCTTCTGAGTAGACCTGTCCCAGTTACACATTCTAGGACTGGGGACATTATCCCAGGGTGAGTTCAGGGCACCGCTGTGCCCACTCTGAGTCAGACTTCAGCCAAAACTCCATTAGCCACCTGGAATCCATTAAGTCCCTACTTCAACTGTAGGACCACAGTGTGTCCTGGGGTCTCCTGGAAGCAGTACCCCACACACCCTGGAAAGTCTGATTGTTTTCCCCAGTGAACACTTACCCTAAGGAGAGACCATAGGCCCCTCTGGTGGTAGCTGGGGCTGGGCTAGGGTGGGGTGGTGGGGAGGCAGAGGGGAACTGGAGAAAAGCTAGCAAGAAAACCCTGACTGATTGTATCAAGTCCTTCAGGGCAACTGTGTCTCCCTTCACTCAGGGGCACTGAGTCCACAAACTGGCTCAGTTTGTTCATCAGCTGAGATTCTCTTGTCATAGTCCAGTGTAGTTTTTTGTTGTTGTTTGAAAATTTTTCTGCTTACACAGATGAAGTAAATATGCAGTAGACTTCTTCTCTATTTCATGCCTGGAAACACCATGATTGACTAGCCAGTACCAAAGGTCCATACTAGACAGGCCACCATAAAAGGCACTTTGCCTGTGCCTATGGCACAGCTCACCCTGCCTTTGGTGATCCACCTGGCTGCCACCTGGCCCCTATTGCTTTGGGGCCCAGTTAATTTTATTGTGTTTAATTCATCCACCTGAGCCTAACTGAGGTCTGACACAGAGAAAGAGCAACAGCGAACCTCTACAAATGCCATTAGGGAAGGCCATGTCTTCTCGGCTCTCCTGTTGTGGAGGAGGAGGTTTTACACGGTGGACTCACTCCAGGACTGCAGTTCGCTGCGCCTTCAACTCTGCCTCAACTCCAAGCCAAGAGAGAGCAGATATCGCCAGCCCCTTTTCAGTGGATCATCTTTTGACAGATGTTTCAGCCGACCATTTTTACGGACTTTTGACACATTTTTTTTTTTAACTGTGTGAGCTTCCATATTAAATGTAGGATCTCCACGCAGTGGGCCTGTATCCACAAATTCAGCTTGATCCAGTGTTAAGTTCCTTCCACCAATATCTCACACCCGTAAAATTCACCCCCCCCCAAAAAAAAAAAAAGCAAAAAATAAATAAATAAATAAAGTCATGCCCATCCATATTCCCCAGACTTGTGTCTGAACGCATTAACAAACTCATTAGTTCTTTAGTAGGGTGGCACACCTCCTCATGGACTACACTTCCTCCCTCTGACTGCCTGCTTAGCCTTTAGTCTGGGTATAGGTGTGAAGGCAACTCTTGATGAGCTGTGAGGGACATCAGTGTGTGTGTGTGTGTGTGTGTGTGTGTGTGTGTGTGTGTGTGTGTGAGAGAGAGAGAGAGAGAGAGAGAGAGAGAGATTTTCCTATAATTTCTATTCCTCTAGAGAATTCTGAATAATACACAAAGTTAAGCAAGACCAAAACCCAGCAAGGCAAATTCAGCTTAGCTCATAAAGAATGTGTCTACTGTCTTAGCCACTGCTTTATTGCCATGAAGAGATGCCATACTAAGGCAACACTTACAAAAGAAAACATTTACTTTGAGTTTGCTTACATCTTCAGAGGGTTAGTCCATTATCATTGTAGTAGATCACATGGCCCTGGGGCTGAGAGCCTTGCATCCTGGTCCACAGGCAGCAGGGAGAGAGATACTGGGTCTGGCATGGGCTTTGAAACAACAAAGACCACCCCAGTGGCACACTTCCTCCAACCAGGCCGTACCCACTGGAACAGGGCCACACCTCCTGATCCTACTAAACTTTCAAATACATGAGCCTGTGGGAGGCTCTTGTTCAAATAACATGTTTCGCTTCCTGGCACTTATAGCCTCACGGTGACTATATTGTAATGCAAAATTCATTTAGTCCAACTTTAAATAGTCTTTCGGTCTCAACATTGCAATCTCTTCGCTGTAATCCCCTATACAATCAAAATTTAAAAGATCACATATTCTCAACATACAGTGGCACAGAATACACATTATCATTCTAAAAGGGAGGAAAGGAAGCATAGTCGGGAAATACTGGACCACAAGACTGAAACCCAGCAGGGCAAACTCCAAATTCTGCATCTTGGGTCTGTGTCTGCTGTAAAAGTGCTCTTCAGATCTCCAATTCGTTTTAGCTTTGTTGACGGTTGTACACTTCTCTCTTGAGGGTGTTTGCACACCCAGGGTGGAGGAGGCAGCAGACAAAAATCCTAGCAGGTGTGCTCTTTCTAAAATCCTTTTGCTCACCTGACACAGCAGCCTGGTCATCTTTGCATCTCAGCAGACTTGCTCTGTATTGTCATTTTAATGTTGTCTGTAGTGTCCCAAGGAATTGGGGTGCCTGAGCCAGTGAGCCAATCCCCTATTATTTTCCATGTTCTTTCCCTAGTACATTTGGTAAGCCTCTTGATGATGTTTCTTTATGTCCATAGAGTAAAGTTCTGGCTAGACAACTAGTCATATTTTAATGTGCTCAGTATTGCCAATGGCCCTCCAAATAGGTTTTCACCCCACTACAATACATGAAATTACTTTTTCCCCCACATTGTTGTTGATACTGGGTTTTAACAATTTTTTAATCTGTGGATATTTAATTGTTTGAAAACCCTTTTATGACTCAACATTTCCCTTATGTAGCCCAGTTAACCTGAAACTTATGATTTTCCTGCCTTAGGCCCCTAAGTATTGGTATTTGGGTCTTATGCTTGGCTTATTACCCTTTAATTAATTTATTTTAACTAATACAGAAATCAGACATTTGTGGGATACAAAGTAACATTTTGGGTTTTTTTTGTTTGTTTGCTTGCTTGTTTTTATTGTTGTTGATGTTGTTTTGACACAGGGATTCTCCATGTAAGAACCCTGGCTGTTCTAGAACTCCTTTTGTAGATCAGGCTGGCCTCAAACTCACAGAGAGCTGCCTTATCTCTGCCTCCTGAGTTCAGGATTAAAGGTGTGTGCCACCATGCCCAGCATAATGACTCAGTGAATGTGTACATTGTGTAAGGTTCAAGTCAGGGTAGCTATATCTCCTGAGACATTTGTCATTTTTATGGCCCCACCCCTCACTGGCTGCAGCTCTTGGGAGATCAGGTTGGGGAGAGGGGTGCAGCTTGGAAAACTGTTCCTGGTGGCATAAGCTGGCCCTTAGGGCAGGAAACAGGAAAGCTGACCCCACCCTTCTCTTGGCCAAAGGGAGAGCTGGTCCTAGTAGTGTGGACGTGGAGAGAGAGCTGGGAGGCTGCCCAGCTCAGCTACCAGTCAGGCCAGACCCAGAGCTTTGGATTAGCTCACCTCAGCATCTCCCCCATCTGTGAGCTGCTGGAGTGCGTGAAGGGGTTGGTCCTCCAGAACCACAGGGCAGCAACAGGATACACGAGAGGAGTTCTGGTGAGCATCCAGCTTTGATGGTGTAGCAGAAGCCAGAGGCCTCAAACAGACAAGTGACTCACTGCAATGAACATTTACAAGTAAAGGCATTTGGACAAAAGTGTGTACTGTGTGGCACGCTACAGCTCCTACAACAAGATGTTTTTTGTTTTCTTTTGGAGGGGAGGTTGTAAGGGAGAGGTGGGTATGGCGGGACGAGGAGATGAGCGGGAGTGGGGTACATAATAAAAAGTTCACAAAAAATCAATAAAAAGGTTTTTTTTTTTTTTACTATTCGGAATGCTTTTCTCCAGCTTTTTGAGATGTGGGGCATAGTCTGTCCTCTCTACCTGACCGTGGCAGCTCCCTGCAGTGTCTCATCATTGACTTTGCCACATGTGAGTGCTGTTTAGGCCGAATCATGTGTCCTCCTCTTTCCACACAATGTCTCCATTTCCCACTTATTGTTTAGGTTTATTCATTTCTTATTTATAAGTTGTCTATAGATTAAAGTTGCTCTTTGTCACTAACACTGTTGCCACTGTCACTCTCATTTTAAGTTTTTCAGTTCTTTTTTTAATTACATTTTTATTTATTGGGTGGGAAGCCCCGATGGAGGTCAGAGGACAGTTTCCAGGAGCTGGTTCTTTCCTTTTACCATGTGGTCCTGGGGTCAAATTCAAGTTGCTGACCAATCTTACTGGCTCAGGTTTTAGTGCCTTTACTATAGGGGCTAAAGAGATGGCTCAGCATTTAAGGGCATTTGCTGCTTTTACAGAGGACCTGGGTTCAGTGACCAGGACCCACATGGTGGTTCACAACCATCTGCAACGCAGACCACAAGGTTTCTGACACTCCTGTGACCTGGGCAGGCACCAGGTGTGCACGTGATCCACCTAACCAGGCAAAACACTGGGACACATAAAATAAATACATCTAAATGGTTTTACCATATAGAGTTGTGAATTTATTTTCAAATATATTGACCTTTTTCCTTCATGGACATACTGTATACTCCTAATTCATACAGTTATAAAACTATCTTTAGCTGGTTTGTTTTATTGTTTTTTTTCCAGCATTGAAACTCAGTTTTATTTGTGAATTTAACTTTAAACATCTCTTATTCTTACCTTCAAGGTATCTCTTCTACTACCCCTGCCTACTAGACCCAACCCCAAACTCTTAGCCACTTGACTTTCATAAAGTTAACTCCGACTTCCAGTGATCTCTTTATTCCCATCCATCCAAAGAGTTGGGGTAGGGAATTAAAAACCATCTCTGCATTATCAAAAACAAAACCAAAAAGCCTTCAGTTTGGAATTAATTACAGAGGTGTTAATTGCCATCTTCTGAAGAAACAGGGTTCTCTGAGGAGGGTTGTGTCTAACAATAGGTCATTAGGAGTTAGTGGAACTCTGTGTCATTCAACAGTCATATTAGCCGGTTCTCCCTGTGGCCTCTGACCTACCTCCCTCCGGCTCTTGGCCCTGTTAATGGTACCAGGCAAGAATTCTGTCTTTTGGAGTAGCCTTAAGTCCAGTCAGAAAGCAGCTGGTTACTTTCAGAACATTTGTGACATTATTGTACCAGTGGGCATATTTTGCCAGGACAGTCTGTTACTATAGCCACAAGACTGATGAATACTTTTCTCCCCTGGGAGTGTGCATAGCAACTTATAAAGCTATCAAGTAGGAAGGAAGTTTCCAGTTCAGTACCACCTTGACTTCTGTTTTTACACATTACTTATCTGGAAGGAAAGTTTAAAATAATTAAAAAAAAAAACTTACTTAGATCAACTTCTTGAGCTTCAAAATTATGTATACAATGGCTACTTGTATTCCTACTTGTATCCAGCTCTTTCACTGCCACAAAGCTCCTTACCCTACTGTATATCCTATCTTGAAAAAAATTCTCACCTTTTATCCTGTACCAATTGGGAAATATAAAATCATTCTTCACTCTTTCCTTCCTTTACTTTTCTGATTCATGTTCCAGCTCCCTGTGTTTTCAAGTTCATCTTTGATTTAATATTTTTTGTTAGTTTAGTATTCTCTGAATATTGACTGAATCTCTCAATCTTCTCCTAGCTGGTCTCCCTGTTTCATCTTACTACTTTCTTTCCTTCTTTTTTTTTTTTTTTATCATCTTGCTACTTTTTTTTTTTTTTTTCATCTTGCTTCTTTCAATAATCTCTCTGTGCAGAGGCTGGACGGCTTTCTGACAGATGTGATTGGTCACTTCTGGTGGCAAATTGCTGTGATGCTATATTACAAATAACATGGTAATGCAGGGGCTAGCCCTTTCTCTCCAGCCTTATTCCCAGCCTGTTACTTCAGAGAATGTGGCAGTTTAAGAGGCCAGTTCTAGAAGAGCCTCGGACAGTGCTATGTAGTGGGTTCTCATAAACTTCTGCACCCACACACTCCTAAGGGCTCACAGCTTTATGACTGGAAGTCTGGGGCTTAAGCACCAGGAGACTGTACTTTCTTTGGCAAAACTTCTTCCTAGATGAAACATACAGAAGAGGCAGCTTAGCTCACTGCACACCCCCTTTCCCCAGCATCGCACAGGCAGAAGAGCCGGGTGAGTGCTAGAGTGCTGGGGTCTAGCACAGATAGCAGGGCAACTATAAAGAGCTGGAGAAAGGTCTGTGCAAATTCTGATATAGACCGGGCAAGCATGTCAGCATACTTCAGTCTTCGGACATGGCGAGTAAAAGGAGCCTAACCTGAATGGAGAAGAGAGTCAGTGTCTGAAGGGCCAGGGTCATACCAGGCAAATAGTGGATTTTAGGTCTGTCAATTGAGGCAAAGACAACGGGGTCAGACCATGTTAGAGGCAGGAAGAGTCGGGTACGCTTATGGGTCAGACAATATTAAGTATGTGAACAAGCATGTATTGTCATGTGGCATTTCCAGTCTTCTTCTCCAGCCCACTTTTTCTCTGTGGGATCCAGTACAATCATGCCATTGTACCCAGGACCTGCACTTTTCTCAGTCCCTAAATCAGACTGAAGAAATTAGAAATAAACGTTTTCTCACACAGCTGTTGGTAATAGTAGTTAGTCCTTCATACCCCCAGGATTGATTATCAGATAGGATTTGGGAACTGGAAAAGACAAGTTTGAAGTTGCCACTGGTCATTTAGAAAAGTAAGAGTGCAGGGGGCAAGAGGCCCACCAGGCCAGGCCTCCCTGTGGGTCTTCCCTGGCACACAGGAGTGAGCAGCCCCGGTCTGCATGCAGGAAACCTGCATCGGTGCCTTTGCCATCTCCCTTGCTTTCCCTTCCCGTTTCCTCATAGATCTTGTCACATTCCAGAAGCAACCCCATGTGGCGTTCCAGAAAATACGCTGCTGTGGCTGAGAATTTTGCTCTGGTATTTATGTTCCAGAAAGACAAGGTTGACTTCTCCTACAACCACCTGGCCGACCCTAAGTTTTCCTTCTATGATAATACTTTGGTGGAAGCCGTGAAGAGTGGCGATCACCTGGTGCACTTGTTCTTCCTCTGCCTCTCACTGTGCCACACGGTGATGTCAGAAGAGAAGGAGCAAGGTGAGCAGGGCCTGAGCCTCAGGGGCTGAGGCTGGAAAGTGGGGTGGGTGGGGCAATTTGAACAGTCTAACCTAGAAAGGATCGTAATGAGGAAGTGACTGCCAGCAGGGGACCAACCAACCGGTGGACGGTTTAGGGAAAGAGTCAGCTACTGAATAGGGGTCAAACTTGGTGCCATCTAAAGAGGTTTTGACCTTGAGGACTGTGGGTTCTGATCAGTCCCACTGTCTTTGACAGGACTTCCTGAAGGGTGAGTTGAGTTGTCCTCTTGTCAGAAAGTGTCTTTGTTATCTCCACGTATCTTAGTTTCTTTAGTAACCAAATCTGGCAAAGTCATCCACTAATTTACCCAAACTTTCCTCAAACAATGAACAAGAAATGACTTTATTTTTTACTAAGTTTGTAATGTTCTTAAATGTTATTAGTATTATTTAAGTGTGTGTGTATTTTGCCTGCTTGTGTGTCTGTGGTGTCCAGAAGAGAGCATTAGGTGGCTGTGAGCCATCATGTGGGTGCTGAAAATTGAACCTGGGTCCTCTTAAGATTTTTTTTTTTTTTTGAGACTCAGTTTCTCTCTATAAGTCCTAGCTGTCCTGGACTTTGCTAGTAAACCAGGCTGGCCTCAAACTGACAGAGAGCCTCCTACCTCTGCCTTCTGGGTGCTAGAATTAAAAAGGTTTGTACCACCACGCTTGTCTTAAGATTTATTTTTATGTGGACATTTTGCCTGTATGTATGTCTGTATACCATGGACATGCCTGGTGCCCTCAGAGGCTAGAAGAGGTATTCAGATCCCCTGGGACTAGAGTTACATATGGTTGTGAGCCACCATGTGGGTGCTAGGGATTGAACCAAGATCCTGTGGAAGAGCAGCCCATGCTCTTAACTGCTGAGCCATTTGTCCAGCCCTAAGAATTATTTAAAGCAAGTATTTTGCTACTAAATAGATCACATTCTCTCAAGTCAATATAGTTAACCAGTAACACTGTATATCTATATATCACTTTACAGTATTATAAATTGCTTCCACGTTTACCTTCTATAATCCTTACAGCATTGCCTTAGACAATAATAATAATCTTATTATTATTTTAGATAATCTTTAGATTATCTAAAGCAAAAAAAAAAAAAAAAACATGACCCCAATTTTACTGAGGAAACTAAAGCTAAAAAGAGATCGGGTTACTTGCCTAAAATCTTACAGTAAGAAGGACAGAGATAGATAAAATCCCAAATCTTATGCCTTCTGGCCCTGTGAACTCCTACCCCATCACTGGACTGCTTAAAGCAGAAAGTAGTATTTGTTGTTCCGCAGACACCTGTAAGTCTCACTTAAAATTATGTTTACCTTATTCACAAAGATAAGTCTTTGCCGATGCCTTTTCAAAAAGCACATGGCCTTCAGAAAATAACTCGGCACCTCAATGTAACAATCTTAGAGAAGAGCTCCAAAACTTCTGAGTAGTTAGTGGAAAACTAATTCCACAGAGTGAATCTATACATATGTTGAGTGAAGAGACACTCAACATATATATATTCTACATTATTTATTAAATCATCAGTCTTATCATCTGACATAATGGGATTTGAGAATCCAGTTTTCCTCCACCAAGAGTTGTGGACTCAGCATATTTGAGTGGACCCAGGAACTGCTCCCTGAGCCATCTTTACCCAGTGAGAGAGGAGTACCTGCCCGATTGTGTGTCCTGCATGTACCATCCGGCTCTGTCAGACTAACCAAAGACTGTGGGATCAGTTAGAAATGTTGGAAATGAAAATAGGCTGGCATGTTCTACACAGCCTGGCCTTTTAGGGCTAGGCATGTAAGGAAGTCTTAAGAAATATGTCCCCTTCTGGGCTCCTTTATGTAAACTACTTGAAATAAGGTTTCGCTTCTGGGTGGACTCGCGCTGCTCATCTCTGTAGGCTGTGTTGCTGCTCTCTCTCTTGTCAGGTGAGCTGGTGTACCAGGCCCAGTCACCAGATGAAGGCGCCCTGGTCACCGCTACCCGGAACTTCGGCTTTGTGTTCTGCTCCCGCTCCTCCGAGACCATCACGGTGATAGAAATGGGGAAAACCCGAGTTTATCGTCTCCTGGCGATTCTGGACTTCAGCAATGAGCGCAAGAGGATGTCAGTGATTGGTGGGTGCTCCTTTAAGTCAGTCTTTCTCTTTGTCCTTTGCACACATTGGCAGAGTGACTTCCTGTCTCTTCTACACACGGATCCTTCTTCCATACACATGGCCTCTCGCAGGCGTTCTGTCTCAGATACACACACTTGTCTTCTTTCAGTTACACACGAATAGGGGCCCATTACCAAGTGCTAATGAGCCTTTCTGTAGTATTTCTGCTAGTAACCTACCATCACCCTCAAATCCAAGTGAGGACAGAAAAGTAACTCATAAGGCTGAACATGGTACACAAGATGGGAGCAAACAATATAGTTGGCCCTTTCATCCTTGGATTCAGCCAACCATATGTCAAATATATACACGCACGCAGAGTTGTGTGTGGCCTGAGGGTATAGCTCAATGGTGAATCACATGCTTAGCATTCACAAGGCCCTGGGTTCAATACCCAGGACCAAAATCAAAGTTATATATGTGCTGAGCATGTGTAAATGTTTATATTTGTTATTATTCTCTAAAGCAATATTAAAATTATTTTCATAGCACTGGGCTGGGGGTGGGGCTCAGTGGTAGAATATTTACCTAGAGCCTGTGAGTCCCTGGGATTGATTCTTAATATAAACACACAAAAATAGCATTTTCATTGTATTCGGTAGTATGAATAATCTAAAGATGATGATGTAGACAGGCTACTTGAAGGTAGCACTCTATGCAGATGCTTTAGAACCTATAAACTGTATACATGGGGGTGGTGTTCCATCCCTCGGGACACTGAGAGACAGTTATATCGTGGAAATTGACACTGACGTGCTTAACTTAGTTTTGGGCTCAGGCTGAAGAGAAGGCCATTCTTGGTCTGGGCCTTGAAACTAAGAATTTAAATGTGACTGGGAGTAGTGGTACACACCTGTAATCTGTCAGTTGAAAGGCATAAAGCAAGAGGATCATGAGTTCCAGACCAATCTGAACTACATAGCAAGTTCCAAGGCCCAGCCTCAGATGGCAGTGGGACCCTGCGTCACAGAGCAAAACCGAACAACTCGATAATATCGTTCCTCAGGGTCTTCCACAGACGAGACTGAACCCCCAGAAGAATTTTTCAGAGGTTTCTCTGTCACTTCTGGCCTCCAAAGGGAACAGAAACGAGGGTTGTGGGGACAGAACCCTACATCCCTCCATGAACCCAAACAAGTTCTTAAACAGTAGGCCTTCGTAGTTACTTTGCGTAATTTGCTTATCTTTAGTTCGGACGCCTGAAGACCGGGTCATGCTGTTCTGCAAAGGAGCAGACACCATCATCTATGAGCTGCTTCATCCATGCTGTGCGTCCCTTGCAGAAGTGACCATGGAGCATTTAGATGTAAGTGTTAAGGCGGCAGCGGATGAACACATGGCCAGGAGCAGGTCCCTGTGTTAGCCTGTATCTGTATGGACGTCTGTTGGTATCAGTTTTCTTGGGTTGGCCGAAGACTAAAACTATTTCATTTTGTTGTATTCTCACTGACTGCATTTCTAAATTTTGTGTCAAAGAATTATGTGGGACAAGACCTTAGAGGTATAACAAGGACTGTGTCTGTAGGAGCTCATACAGGGAACAGAATAGTTCTGTGATTCTTGCCTCCAGAGGTCCTACAGAAATATAGTATTTGCTTCAGAATACAGTCTGCTGATATGGAGGCCTTACTCCACAGCACATGTTACAGTAAAGAGCAGAAAGCAAGCACAGGCTATCTGAGCAGCTATTTGATACCTCCCTCTTGTATCTTCCCTCTCACCATCTGACTCTACTTCCATGCACTAGCATTTGAGATTTATCATATAAAAAAAAAGAGAGAGAGAGAGAGTGGCAGCCGGGCGCAGTGGCGCACACCTATAATCCCAGCACTCGAGGAGGCAGAGGCAGGCGGATCTCTGTGAGTTTGAGGCCAGCCTGGTCTACAAAGTGAGTCCAGAACATTCAAAGCTGCACAGAGAAACCTGTCGAGATAGAGAGAAAGAGAGAGAGGCCTCAGCTTGCTGTCACAAAAAAGAAAAACCAGATCAATAAACTCAGATTTCTAACCCTCTACCTGTATATGTAAAAGGTCAGCAGTTTAAAAAAAGAACAAAGAACAGGATGTAGAGGGAAGAGAAAATCAGTAAAATATTTCATAAAGTAGATTGTAGAAGATTCTACTTTTCTAGGCCTTGACACACAGCTGGAAGCCAGAGAACAATGAAGAGATGCTTGACATCACTGGTTATTAGAAAATGCAAATAAAAAACCATGACAGCTCAAATCAGATGGTCAGACCATAATAAATGTTCTAGATACATGAACATACAGCCCTCATACCTGGTGCAGGCATTTGGGAAGATAGTCTGGCATTTCTTCAGAATATTAACCACAGAGTCACCAGTGACTTGGAAGTTCCATGCCTAGTTCTGTTTCCAAAGAAATGAAAACTCATCTAAAGAAAAATCATGCTGGAATATTTACAGCAGATTATTCATGACTGCAAAATGGCTTGCGTAACCAAAACGTCTACCAACAGATAAAGGAATTAATAGATAAGGAATTAATAGATAAGGAATTAATAGATGTGCTTTTTTTCTACAGAGCAATATTTGGTTATAAAAGGGAAAGAAGAACATGAAAACACATTACATGAAAAAAGCCAAAAGCTAGCATTTCATGATCCTCCTTACAAATCTTCAGAGGAAGAAAGTAATTCTGGTTAGGCTCAGCAGAGGAAGCCTGATGAACTGAGTTGGGCCCCACTGGGTAGAAGGAGAGAACCAGACTCCACAGCCGTCCACTGACTGGGGGTTTGGGGAAGAGAGAGAGGGAATGGGAGAAGGAGGGAGGGAGGGAGACAGAGGGATGGATAAAGGGAGAGAGAGTGACTAGAGAGAGAAGAGAGAGGGAGAGAGAAAGAGAGGGAGAGGGGGAAGAGGAGGGAGAGAGAAATGTTCTTAAATGCAAAACAGAAAGTATGTTAGTGGTTGCAGGGGGTGGTAGAGAGAAAAGGTTGATGGGCATGTTTTGCCATTTATTAATGGTAAGCATTGTACAAATTTGGTGAATTATAAACTGAACTGTGTATTCTAAAATGGTATGTTTTATGGTATGTGTATAGTATGGTATATATCAAGTGATAGATAGATAGATAGATAGATAGATAGATAGATAGATAGATAGATAGATAGATAGATAGATATGGATATATAGATATATAGTGTAGTATATATTGAGTTTTTTTACATTTTTTCTTTTTTTTTTTAAGATTTATTTATATGTATGCAGTATTTTGCCTGCATGTATGTGCAGGCCAGAAGAGGGCATCAGATCTCATTATAGATGGTTGTGAGCCACCATGTGGTTGCTGGGAATTGAACTCAGGACCTCTGGAAAAATAGCCAGTGCTTTTAACCTCTGAGCCATCTCTCTAGCCCTCAAGGTTTTTTTTGTTTTGTTTTGTTTTGTTTTTGTTTTTTTAATGAACTATTTGGGTGCGTACGTCAGTGAGTGAACACCCTGGCTCTAGTATGGCGGTCAGAGGACAGTCTGCAGGTGCTGGTTCTTCCCCACCGTGTGGGACTCTAACTCAGGTTGTCGTGTTTGGGAGCGAGCGCCTTTACCAGCGCATCCATCTGGCCAGCCATACTGCACATCCTGGGTCAGTCTGTGTCTCGGACAAGGCGGCACTTCCATCTGGTGCTGTGTGGGCTCGAAGCTTCTCATGGCCCACCCTCTTATCTAGAGTGCCTTCCCAGAGAGCATTCCCCAGTCTGCCTTCAAAAGGCGCTCATAACACTATTTCAGACCTGGTCTGAGATATGAAACTATTTTGAACTGTTTCCTGATGCCATATTAACAGCCACTGATAATGGAACTTGACTACACTAAACACCACGAAAAGGCAAACCTGTAAGAATCAAACTCCAACACACAGAAGCCCAGCTCCAGGCCACTAACACAGAAATCAGCAAATGGGTCACATAGAAACACGTGGCAGGCCTGTTTGGACTTGGGCACCAGGCCACCGTTTGCCGAATGCAAAGAGAAAAGAAAACCATACAAGGAGGAGTGAGAAGTGTTAGCTTGTTCTGTAAGGTGATTTGTCAGACAGACCAATGGCTCTGTTGTTGTATTGTCCTCTTAACTATATCCAGTAGAAAATGAGTTTCTGCTGCTATCGCTTCCTTCTTAAGTCTCCTGAGACAGGACAAATACTTAAGATTTGGTATTTTGATGTGTACTGCCTTACATTGTTTATACCTGTAGTTAACATCAACTAAGAAGTTATACAGGGAAAAAGAACAAATGTATGTTTTCTCTGATCTTACAAAGCCAGTGAATTCTCACTTACTTTACCTAACATAATAATGTCTTAGTACATAAAATAAGGTCTTAGTACATAGAATCTGCTTTTAACTCATTCTTAGATGCATGCATTCTGCTCTTTTGCCCAGCACCCCCTTTCTCGCCCAGACCCCTTACGGCCAAACATGTACTCCTACAGTGCAGCTGCCTATGGCTAACTATGTCTGTGACCAATGAGTAAACACATACTAACTCACACAAGAAAATGTCTGCAGATGAGGAAGCTCATTAACACGGTTCTGTGCTTCTGAGCTGAACAGTAAGATACAGACAGACAGCAGGCACACGCTCTCTGAGTTGACAGAGAAAGGGTAGGGAAATTGAATGTGTATTTGCAAAAAGTGGTAACACCTTTTTATGTATCATCATCTTATAAACCCTTCTTGGTTTACCACTTTCTCCACTTCCACTCCATAATCACCGTCACCCTCTCTGTAAGGGTGCATTATTATCCAAATCCTAGAAGAGATAGACCTAGAAGACCCTGAATCACAGAACAAATTCTAGGTAAACTATAACTAAAAGCCAGGACCCTCTTTCTGAGGGCATTTTCCAATATTCTTTGTTGTGGGTTATTAATATTTACTATTAATTTATCTTTTAGTTAAACAGAGGTTATTCCTAAATCAGCTATATACCCAAATCACCACGCAGAGACTAGGATTTATTTAACCTAGAGCACAATGCTGGGCAATAGTTATTCCACCGTCAACCTCCAAGCCCACATAGTTTCCTACCATTCAGATTTCACCCATTATACTTGCTTTTAGTCATATCTTAGATCCGGTTCATCTCTCCTCATAGTTACAAGTCCTCTCCTGCCAGTCTCTCCTCCCTCTCTCCTTCCATTCACTTCCTTCTCCTCCTGTCTGCCCGTCTGGACCAGGATGTCCCACCCTATTCTCTCCATTGCACAGCATTGTGGGTGGTTGTTTTATTGACAATACAGAGAACAAATGGTGGCATGTTTACACAAACTTGAGACAGGTGATGCTGAGAATAGGTATCACAATTCGATGTCTGGATTGAAACCAGATAGTGGGGTAGAGAAATCAGCGTTTGAATGAACAAGGGTAAATTATACACATTCCACAAGAACATTATACCAACACTTCTTGTTTCCCCATGCTTGTTTGGTTTTGAGTTTTAAAACACAGTCTCATATGGCCTAGGCTTGCCTGGCTCTTCCTATCTCAGTCTCCCAAGTGCTACAATTATATACTGCATCACTTCACCTGACTTCCTTGAAACATTTTGCATACAAAGTACAAGCCTAGCCTCATAGTACTAACCAGGAAACTTTATTTTACAGGCAGATGGGTCCTATGGAGTCAGTGTGCCAGTCCCTTATGTCAGCTTTGCCCAGCTCTGACTTGGCACACATATTATCTTCCAGGATTTTGCCCGTGAAGGCCTTCGCACACTCATGGTAGCTTACCGAGAGCTGGACAATGCATTTTTCCAGACATGGATTAAAAAGCACAATGAAGCTTGCCTGACTTCAGAAGCTCGAGAAAGAAAACTAACTATGGTTTATGAAGAAATTGAAAAAGACTTGATGGTGAGTATGAAGGAGCAAGAGACATAGTGACGACAGAGATGGTGGCGGCAGCTAGGCTTCTGAGAGTGACTGCGCAGGGCCAGCATGCGGGCTTTCTCAGGAGGAAGGTAGGCAGGCCCAATGAGAAAAGAAGAGAGACTAAATATAGAAATTCAGACTATTTGGACATATCCCGAATCATCTAAATCCATTATGAAGAATTGTTCTGGCCATAGTTTTTTAAGCCCCCTTTACCCACCAAGCTGTGCTCAAGGAAACCATGTAATCTGAGGCTAGAATGTGCATCACAGTTGGTAGAGTGCCGGCCTGGGGCACACCAGGCCCCAGCCCCAGCCCGAGCAAGGCATAAAATTGGGTATGGGAGCACACACCTGTAATTATGGCGCTTGGGGTGTGAAAGCAGGAGGGCGGGAGCTTCAGGCTCATCCTCAGCTACATAGCAAGATCACAAGAGGAAAAAATGAAAGAAGGAGAAACAGAAGGAAAGAAGATAATCCAGAAAAAAAGAAGATGTGAATAATATACAGATTTGATAATTCAGAATGTATTAATGTCAAGAGAAAAATTAAATTACTCATTCAACATATTTCTTAAGTGTCACTATGAGCAACTGTGTCCTACATATCAGTAGAGAAAACAGATAAAAAGTTTTATATATGTGTGTATATATGTACACACATATATTTGCATGCATGCATGTATATATGTGTTATATATGTATTATAGTATATGGTGAAAATACCAAGGAAAAAAGTGAAATAACCCTAGAAGAGAAAGAGCATGTGCTTGAGGTTTGAAGGGGCAGAGGTACTGCTGTGAACAAGGCAGCCAGTCTTGCACTAACAGGAAGACATCATCCGAACCTCAGGAGGATGACAAGCCAAGCAGTGCTCTAGCTGTGCAGACTAGCTCTTCACACACCATGATGGGGACAGAAAAAACCTGAACGAGGCAGGCTTAACCTGTGGAAGATCTGATGAGCTGGGGTGGCATGAAAGGGCAGAACAGAGGCCCTGAGACAGAGAAGGTGAGCATCCCAGGGCCCGTGTGACGACAGCAGGAGACAGGAGACGGCAGGAGGGCGCAGAGAGAAGTGATGGAATAGACACCCGCCCACATCACCACCCGAGCTGCTACCAAGGAGAAGGAGGCACAGAGGTGCAGGCCTTATTTCTTTCAAAGACAACCAGTAGAATTTGTAGGTAGATTGGATTACAGGCATAAGAAAAAGAGAAGTTAAGATGACCCTAAAAGGTGTGTGTGCAGGTGTGTGTGCTTGTGTGTGTATGTGTGTGTGCGCGCGCGTGCCTGAGTGTGTGTGTGACTGATCAGGCTGGCTCTACTATGAAAAGAGAAATTACTGACAGCAAAAGAAGTTGGTAGAGAACTCAGCTTTCCTTTTCTATGTCTTCCTTTCTGAAGACTTAGAAAAAAACCGCTTAGTAGTTTGTCCATTTCCCAGTGCCTCAGCCTAGTTGTGGGCTCGCCCCACAGCGGCACCTTAGGAAACCGGACACAGTCCTCGTGTCAGACCCAAGATTCCATCCAGGGAGATGGAAATCCCGAACGTTTCAGGTGGTCTTGGCGGGAGCCAACTGTGAACATCACGGGGCCAGGAAACACGCTACGTTACAAGGAAGAAATGAAGGTACCAAGACACAGACGGTTGGGTGTGAGCACAGAGCTTCATGTACGACTGGGGCAAGACTTCTCTCGCCAGGCTAGAGCTGTTTCTAAACTTGATTTCTGTCTGTGGTTGAAAAGGCCGTGTGTGTTGTCCAGCGTACTGGCCATGGCTTTACTATCCCAGCTCTTGGGAGGTAGAAACAGGCTGATCTCTGTGAGTTCAACGTTATCCTGGTCTACAGAGTGAATTCAAGTTCAGCCAGAGCTACATTTTCGAGACTCTTGGAAAAACACAAGCAAACATCAGCTCTGTGTGTTAGCATGCTGCATCTCCCGTTCCCCCCGCCCCCCGGGACCCTCCTCAGGACAGGTCGCTCAGCGCCGAGCACCTGGGCAGTGTGGGTAGGGCGGTGTTGCGGTGCTTGCGCTGACCTCACTCACTGACGTCTCCTGTCTGAAGTTACTAGGAGCCACAGCCATAGAAGATAAGCTTCAAAGTGGAGTGCCTGAGACAATTGTCACCCTGAGCAAAGCCAAGGTCAAAGTGTGGGTTCTTACCGGTGATAAGCAAGGTAAAGGGACTCTCAGCCCGGACCACCCTCTTCCTGCCCACTGTACCCATCTCTCTCCTTCTGTGTCTGACAAAGCCCAGAGCAGATGCCTGTCTTCCTTTCCCCTTTTGATTTGTTGGTCATGTACTTTGCATTGGCGGTCATTTCCTGCCGCCTTTCAGTCCCCTTTCTGTTGTCCAGAGACCTGTCTTCTTACCGGATCCTGACTGCTGCCGCCCTTGTCCAGCCTTCATCTGTCCCTGCTTTCTTCTCCTTCCATCTTGCTCTTACTGATTTCAGCATAGTCTGCATCCAGCTGTCAGCTTGGTCACCCACAGGGGCAACAGCTTCGTGATGTAAAAAATCCCTTTGGCCTTCAAGAACCTACATAATCTGTTGTTACTCATATGTCCTTTGTTGTGACCATTATCTTCATATGTCTTCCCAAACCCAATTCCTACTCCTGGGTTTGGGTCATTTTTCCCACTCAAAATACCTTTGCTTCTCTTACACAGTCCTATGAATCCTTCAAGGACTTCTAGTAAGAAATTTCTGGGAGAAAAAAAATGCATCTTTCTTCTGAATTCCTATCATACTTTTAGTCAGGACTTGAATGTTAATTTTATTTCTTTTCTTTAGTATTCCAGATTCCAGAGTTTTTTTTTGTTTGTTTGTTTGTTTGTTTTTGTTTTTTTAAGATTTCTTTATTTTATGTATGAGTGCTCTATCTGCATGTACTGCATGTACACCTGCCTGCCAGAAGAGGGCATCAGGTCCCAGTATAGATTGATTCTGAGCCACCATGTGGTTTCTGGGACTTGAACTCAGGACCTCTGGACAAACAGACACTGCTCTGAACCGCTGAGCCATCTCTCCAGCCCTCTAGGTTTCTTAATATAAAGAAATGATGCAACTTGAGCATGTCTCTATCCTCATAAAATTTAGTATAGAAATAGCAGTACTGTTCAATGAAACATATCCACAGGCCACCCAGGGGCTGCCACCAAGATTGTGACTACAGACAACGTTCCCTGAAACCCACACATGCACACAGCACACACGGCCCTCTGTTCCACACATGTGCTGTTCATAAATAGCCCGTAAGGCAAGCGAACACTCACTGTGACTGTCTGACTACGGCCTCCCTAGGTTCATGAAAACAAAATGCATTTTAACTGTATCCAAGGCAGTCATGGACAGATGGGCTCTGAGCCTGCTATTCCTGCCCAAGTGACTTGCACTGTAAAGACTCAGTCTCTGTAAGCACCAGTCAGGATGAGCCCGTGTTCTGTCTGCCGTAGAGACTGCTGTGGACACTGCGTACGCCTGTAGGATATTCAGGGATGAGATGGATGGGGTCTTCGTGGTGGAAGGCACAGACAGGGAAACTGTTCTGCAAGAACTCAGGTGTGTTACACAGGGGAAAGCAAAGTCAGTCTGCACCCTTTCCCCAAAGGTCTCCCCTCCACAGAAGGAACAGAGAAGAAATAATGAAAGGGAAACAAACACCACACCCAAAAGGACTCAGAATGTGGGTGGAGAAATGTGAATGTGGCTAGCTCAGAACCCATGGCAGCAGAGGCCTAAGCAGAGGTTCTGAGGCCTAAGGTCTTCCTTGTCCACTTTTACTGTGGACATGGGTTTTTTTTTTCTTCCTAAGTTGTAGAGCTCATACAAGACTCTGTGCTTTTTTGGCTTCCAGGACAGCAAGGAAGAAGATGAAACCTGAGTCTCTACTGGAATCAGATCCCATAAACATTTACCTCACCAGGAAACCCCAAATGCCTTTCAGAGTACTTGACGAGGTGCCCAATGGCAACTATGGCTTGGTCATCAGTGGCTACAGTCTGGTGGGCAACACAGAGCTACAACTGTTTCCTTATCCCAAGGCACTCTGTCCCTAGGTCCAACCCAACTCAGGGAAATTTCATCCCTTCCCTATTTTATGAGTCAGCCTACTCCCCTTCCCTGGGGTACCCGAAAGACATTCCCCAGGCTGCTCTAGGCAGGAGAACAAGAAAGAGGAGCCAAAGGAAATTCCTTCCTTATTCTTTATTTGAGTTTTTCTCTGCTCACATGGCTTGCTGCACAGGGGAAAGGGGCAAACAAGTGGAACACAACCCTTCCAAAGCCGCCTAGCTAATGGGCTGCTGACCATTTTGATGCAGAGAGCCCATGAATGGCTTCCCACTGCAGGCTGAGCCAGACAAAAGTCAGCTAGACCTAACCGAGAGGCGACCCCTGCGGGTAGAGCACCCTGTGAGGAGCCAGGCCCACCCTAGAAAAGACAGGAGAGGACAAGCAAAGGGAAGGTCGGCCCCGAGGCCCTGGGTAGCACGCTGAGTGTGTGTGTCCCGGTGCCGCAGGCCTACGCTCTGGAAGGGGGCGCGGAGCTGGAGCTGCTGCGCACCGCGTGCATGTGCAAGGGCGTGGTCTGCTGCCGGGTGACGCCCCTTCAGAAGGCGCAGGTGGTGAACCTGGTGAAGCGGTACAAGAAGGCGGTGACGCTGGCCATCGGCGACGGCGCCAACGACATCGGCATGATCAAAGGCATGTGAGGGGAGGTAGCAGTAGTCCCCGTCTGTGGTTGACCCCCGCTGTCCTCCATGGGACCCGAGCCACACGTTTGTGTGCTGCTGGCTCCTGCTCCCTCCTATCTTGCCATGTGTGCATGTACCGTCTGCGACCTGTGTCCGCAGGCATGCGCAGACTCAAGTGCATTCACTCACACCCTGAAGACCAGTGCAGACACAGATATGCAGGACCACAAATGCATGCTTACCATCTCGTGCAGCAGCCTGGCAGCCGCCACACCCCCTTAGGATGGCGTCAGGGCATCAAGAGACAGAAGGAATCTCTGCATAGGAGCCAGTCTTTTTTTTTTCTTTTTCTTTCTTTTTTTATTAAGTCCGTGGACTTAAGGTGGTGCTCCTTAGAACCTGCTGTAGCTCCCCTGACTGGAGGGGATTTGGTGATTTACTGAAATTCAAAAGCTAAAATGTTCTGGTTTAAATTTCAAGTGCAACATGGACTTGACAGAAACTTGTTGATCTGTGAGGTATGAACAAAGTCTCACTATACAGGAAACTGCCAGATAGCCTGGCCTCTACTTCAATTCTAGGAAGGTTTTCTGCTCCAGTTTTCGGGGCTTTAGAAATTTCAGTTGTCCTAGCTGGGTACACGCCTTTAATCCCAGCACTCAGGAGACAGAGGCAGGTGGATCTCTGAGCTCTGGGCCAGCCTGGTCTACAGAGCAGGTTCCAGGATAGCCAAGGCTACATAGAGAAACCCTGTCTCTGGAAAAAAGAGACCGAAAACTCAGTTAATCCTGTGAAGCAGTGACGTAGCTGTGAGAAAGCCAGTGGCGGCGGCCAGAATAGTGATGCCACAAAGTAACCACAATGTGTAGGAAGTCGGTCTGAACGACAACATCCAAAACAAAGTGCAGAAGCAGCTCTGCTTCCCCGTGTGTGGGGAGAGAGCGATGCATCAAAAAGGAGGCCACCAAGAAAGTGGCATTCGACTAGGGAGAACAGTATTTTCTAAATGTGGAATAAGAGGGTCGTACAATCTCAACTCCTCATTCCCTTCGTACTTTCCAGGGTAAAAACCCAGCAAACAGTCTTCTTCATGTCTCAGAAATTTCTGGGGTTTCATTGCAGCTGCGCATGTTGGGGTTGGCATCAGCGGCCATGAGGGACTGCAGGCCATGCTCAGCAGTGACTTTTCCTTCTGCCAGTTCCGCTATCTGCAGCGCCTGCTCTTGGTGCACGGCCGCTGGTCTTATAATCGCATGTGCAAGTTTCTCAGCTACTTCTTTTACAAGAACTTTACCTTCACCCTGGTGCACTTCTGGTACGCCTTCTACAACGGCTTCTCCGCACAGGTGAGACGCCAGGCCACTCTCCATTCTAGTCAGCCAGCACGCACAGCCGTCCTTCCGACGAAGGCAGGACACGAAGTGCTGTGCCCACCTCTCCACCCGGTAACCCCAGACCTACATTAACCCTGCATTTCCAGATCATACAGGTTCTGTTACTGACTGCCGCCTTAGGAACTCTGCTGGGGGCTCACACTGACACACTAGTCTTCAACATACAGAACTAAGAAAAATTGAAGGAGCCAGAGGTCTGTTAACACCCAGAGTCATCTTTGTTGTTGCTGTCCACCTTAATAATTCTCTGCTTTTATTGCTTTTAGGTTATTTTGTTGTATATATATGAGGGTTCTTGTATGTGTGTGTGTGTGCCACATTCATGCCCAGTGCCCTCAAAGTCCAGAAGAGGGTATCAGATCCTCAGGAACTGGACCTAACTTTTCATTACTGAGTTTAATTTTGTGATTATAATATGGGAGATAATCATAAAGCTATAACAGCTACATTCTAGATGCTTCCAAAGTACTTTAAAATGGTTCTGCTTTGAGTCTGTAGATGAATGACAACAGTCCGTATACATCACCCATGTAGCCTGGACTAAATACCGTGTTTGCCTCCAGGGACCTGTCAGATCACGACAGATAGGCTGTCAGGGTATCCATCTACACTAGAACATGGCTGCCCAGGTCTGCCCAACACACAGAATTGTTCCTTTGATAATTTCATTTCACATTTGAATACAAAATCACAACCTAGAGGAAATGTAGGGTTTGGTGTTATAGGAATAGCCCTTCTTCCTGTGGTAAGTCTTTCAGGAGTCTCTCATTGAGTCCCAGGAGAAACAGCCCGAGGGTTTATTATCAGCCAGCAGGCAGTGTAGAACAATGTAACCCAGCCCCACCCAGGCCAGTCTGGTCTTTGGGAGTGGTGTGATCCTGTGGAGAGGAAGGGGCCTTTAGTTCCAGGATGGATCACCCAGCTGAAGAAGAACCATCGCAACTCTTCTCTTTGCCCTGTTGGTAAATGTTCAGGGCCACAGAACCAGATAAAGAGAAGAAACTCAGTGTTCTGGAGGTGCAGACTATGGCTAGTTTGCCCTCTGTATTCCCAGAGGGACACTGCCCGTTGTAGAGGGTTGTTTCAGGTCAATCTTAGAAGCCCAGCATGGCCTTGCCCTAGTCTGGGAGTGTTGGTTCTAGAGTAGGATCAAAAAAAGACTGGGATTTTGCATCAGATTTCTGGAAACTAATTGATCGCCCTTTAGGTGGTGAGTGGGAGAGGACCGGGAGAGGCAGCACTGGACCTGAGAGGTAGAGATGAGGCTCTATTAAGAACACAATCTAAAAGAATCTCCTTGATGCTCTTCCAGACAGTTTATGACACCTGGTTCATCGCCTGCTACAACATGGTCTACACTTCCCTCCCTGTCTTGGGCCTGAGTCTGTTTGAGAAGGTGAGACTCAGGAGCAGGGCTCCTACACAGGAGACTGGGCTCAAAGACTGAGACAGAAAGCGACCGTGAGCTCTCCAAAATCATGTGTGAAGGAAAGAATTTCTAGAGCAGGGAAGGCATTGATTGCCTAGATAGTATCATAAGGGAGAGTAAGCAAGGGGACCAGAGCCATTGAGTGAAGACTTGGTAAGGCAATAAAGGAGAGGCCTGTTGACAAGTAATAGGGATGAGACAGTGGCTGTAGGAAGGCCTTGGTGGGCATCCTGGAGGCTAGACATGGGGCTGTGAGCATAATCCCTTATGACACAGGGAACCAACCCAGGCCTCAATGTCTGTTCTTGTTAGAAGTTCCTTCTGTAGTAAGAGTCCTGTGTTGGAGTAGTTTTGTTTTTTTTTTTTTTTTAACTCTTTTATTTACAATTCTTATATCTCTTTCTCCCTACTCCACCCCAAACCCTTCCAATACCCCAACACCAGGTAGGAGAGAGAAAGGGTTAGTGGGAAAGGGGCCACAGTTCTCTTAGCTGCTTCCTGATGGTTAGGGTTGTTGGGGTCCTTGGAGCCAGTGCAATCCTTCTTTCAGGAGATCTCCATCCTCTTTTCTGACAACAGCAACCAGGAGCAGCAAAGGGGAAACAGGAGCAGCCTTGTTCTTTCTACCTTCCCCTCTCTGGCATTTATTCTCTCTCCAGAGTGCTCAGATTGAAACAATCTGCAGCCGGCAAAGAGCCCCTCTCAGAGTCAAATAGTGTGCTGCTGTGGGCCATCTTAATCAGTCCTGTGTTGCACAACAATATAGGCCAAAACAAAAAACATGTTTATATTCACAACAGCCCTGATCTCTCTGTCCCTCACTCTTCTACCAACCTCCATTTCTGGGCACCACAGTAGAAAAATTCTCCAAGGAGGAATACAATAGATGAAGAATGTCTTGTAAAGGATTTGCTAATCCTTATTGATTTCCCTGCCTCTGCCCACAGCTTTTGACACAAGCAGCATTTAACCAAAGGAGCACTTGTGCTTTAGGGCTTACTCCCCAGCTCCATTCTCCAGCCTCCAGCCTCAGCCCTCCCGCCCAGCTGCCCTGAGCCACTCCCACATCCTAATGGGCTGCACATGCTTCCCATCTTCTGGTCTCTGGAGAAGACTGTGTCAGTGCTCCGGTCTCTAGGTCTGCTTCTCAAGCTCTCCATGAGGAAATGCCCAGGCAGCCTGGTAGCAGACTCAGTGAGACAAAGTGCCTCTCCTCTGGTGGAGATAGGACCTGTGGAAAGGCCCTGACCTTCCTCCTCACCCTGTATTGTTTCCAGGATGTGAACGAAACATGGAGTCTGTGTTACCCAGAGCTGTATGAACCAGGACAGCACAACCTATATTTCAACAAGAAGGAATTTATAAAGTGTTTAGTGCATGGTATCTACAGTTCCTTCGTGCTGTTCTTTGTGCCCATGGGGACCATCGTAAACTCGGAGCGCAGTGATGGAAAGGACATTTCCGACTTCCAGACCTTTTCTCTGCTAGTGCAGACCGCCTTGATCTGGGTGATGACAATGCAGGTGTGGCCCCTGTAGCGGGAGTAAGGGGGCTGAGTGAGGACCCTGTCTGAAGAGAGGGAGGGTGGGCCGGGAACACCTTCCCTCACGGGCTTTGAGAGTGCAGGTGCTGACCGGTCAGTAAGCTCATGAACTCATGCTTCTTAGATTGCCCTGAACACAACCTCCTGGACGGTGATAAACCACACCTTCACCTGGGGCAGCCTGGGGCTCTACTTCAGCATCTTACTCGTCCTGTGCAGTGATGGCCTCTGCCTACTGTTCCCCAGCATCTTCCATTTCTTAGGTAAGACCTGACCAGCCAGTATTGGGGATGGAGGACTAAAAAAAATGCTAATTTAATGCTTACTGAGAAACTATATGTTATAATGCTTAGATAGAGGTATGATTAAGAAATAGTCTGTGCTCCAAAGGAGTACAAAACCTTTCTAGGAAAATGTTTAACTTCAGAATTTCCAAAATTTTTTTCAAATATTTTAGATTATTTGGTCTTCACAAGTCTCTCTTGAAGTGACAGGGCAAGAATTATTAGCACCATTTTGGAGACTTTTGCTTGTTTTACGGGTTATTTTTATTTTATGTGCATTGCTTTATATTTTGTCTGTATGTATGTATGTCTGTGTAAGGATGCTGGGTCTCCTGGAGTTACATACAGGTGTGAGCTGTCGTGTGGGTGCTGGGAATTGAACCCACACCCTCTGGAAGAGCTATCGGTGCTTTTAATCACTGTGCCATCTCTCCAGCCTTGATTTTTCAATCAAATGACTTGAAATTCCAGTGCAGACTCCTTTCTGCTGATATGTCCTGCCTTACTGTCTCCTGTGTTCCTCCCCCTTTCTCATTGCCGTTCAAATGGACAAAGCATAGAGTAGCCATTTTTATGAGCCTAGTCCCTACCTCTTGTCCGGCCATTAACTCACTTTTCTTCTCCAAAGCTTTCTATTTATTTTTAATTTAATCACATTTATTTATTGTGTGTGCAAAAGAAAGAGAGACAGAGAAATAACCACTTGAAGGGGTTGGCTCTCACCGTCTACTGTGGTGGACCCAAGGGGTAGGCCTCAGGGCCTCAGGCTTGGCAGCACCTTACCCCCTCAGCAGTCTGCTGGCACCAGAGCGTTCTGTTTTTCCGTGAATGCCCTAGGGTGCACTCTGACCTCCCCTCCTCCCCTGCTCTGTCCTGCCCTGCCTTTAGAGGGAGACAAAGGTGTGTGAGTTGTCCCAGCCATCAAAGCAGCTTCTTTCCAGAAAGGGAAAACTCTTTCATCTACTGATGAGTTTGAAAATCACAAAATACATAGTGACTTTCTTGCATTTGTGTTACTTCCCAGGAGACTAGGATGTCTGGAAATCAGTGCCCCCCTCCTTGGGACTGGAGAACATAGCTGTGCTCTGGCTGATTCCAGCCACCCCTAACCCCTAGCCCCTAACCCCTAATCCCACCTCCCTCCCCATGTTGTCTCAGCCTCTCCTTTCCTGGTTTGCTGTCCCCAGGTGTGGCCAGGAACAGTCTTTGGCAGCCCCATACGTGGCTGTGCCTCATCCTCAGCACAGTGCTCTGTATGGTCCCTGTGATTGGATACAACTTTCTTAAGCCACTCCTCTGGCCGGTTAATGTGGACAAGGTGAGTGAAGAGGGAACCTGCAGGGATGAGTCCCCTTTGCCTTGGCCTCCGTGTCTGAAAACCTTGTCCCCCACGCTCTGGATATAGGTTCTGAACAGGATTCATTTTTGCTTGAGACATCCGCTGCCACCCCCAGTCCAGACCAAAGTAAAACACCCAAGCATTCGACGTTCTGCCTATGCGTTCTCCCACAAGGAGGGTTTTGGGGACCTCATCACGTCCGGCAAGACACTGAAGTCCAGTGCCTTCAGAAACAGCAGGAAGTCCCTTTAAAATGTAGAGGCCCTTAGGGAGACCCTCAGCCAGTCAACCATTGCTCTTCCTCCCTTTTATTTATGCAACGAAGTAAAAAGGGATTGGGGCCATTGGGAAACGAGCATAAACCTCTTCTCAGGGCTTCAGCTTCTTCATTCCCCAGAAAGCTGTACCCAGGAAAGTCAAGGAAAGAGGTAACAGCCCCCAGACATCACCCAGAGTGGCAGTATTTCCAGAAAAAACAAGTCCAAGCCTCCCATTATTCCTTCCAGATTTTAACCCAGACAGGCACATATGGAGGAGGTGAAGAGGGCCGTAAGGACGAAGACAGGGCACACCCATACCCAGAGCAACTATAAACCTTCCCAGAAGCCATGTGCACATATTCCCACCCAGACACCATTCTCAGATTTTTCTGGAAGATCAGGGTGCCGGGTCAGCATCTTGCTGGCCCTAAGTAGCAAAGGAGGAGGTGACTGGGAAGAGCTGGTCTTCAGAGGCTCGAGGACAGTTTCTGGAACAAATGGAAAAAAGAAAGAAGAAAGGAAAGAAAATGGAGGCATGTCGTGCCTAGACAGAACAGCTCAGAGTTTTGCCTTCATCCCTCCTCTAGCTCCTTTAAGAACTGATGCTTATTCAGGCATTAGAACTAAGAGGGGAACAAAAGCAGGTGACTGAAAAAATAGCTTCTTAAGGGGATGTAAGCCATTGCTGGTGAGTGTTTGTCTTCTATAAAATGATTCTGAGAAGAAATTGTATGTACCTGGAAAACTGTTTGAAGTTTGTGGAGAAATAAATGGAGAAATAAATTGCTTATTTTGAAGTGGAGATATTTGTATGGTCTGTTGGAGCCCTAATGATAATAACATAATCTGAGTGATGTCATCATGAAGCATTATCAATACAATGATACCAATCCCCAGCCCCTGCCCCCTCCTCTTTTAGTGCCACTCCTCTTTTAGATTTCTGCCCTCGGAAATCTAAGTCTTAGTCTAACGACACATTGTAGCTCCCTAGTTCTATCCTGTTCACATACCTTCAACATGTGTCCTGAGAGTTCAATCCTAGGTGTTAAGTTTTCCATGTAGCATGACTTCCCATACCAACAGAAATTCTCAAGTCCATAGTCCCCATCTCTCCTTACATCTTAGTCCAAATAGAGAACTCAATCTGAGACTCCCTTAATTGAACCTCTTAAAATGTAAGCTCAACATGCCCTACTTATACTGACCTTCCCCTCCCCCAATACCAGGACACCATCACCATGACCATGACCCCAGACACCCCAGGCAGGGTGAGCAGATTGGAATCATCTTTTGTTGCTTCTAGTCAGACATTCAGTCAGCTGCCAAGTCATATACATTCTTTATCCTTATTTTTTTGTTTCAGTCCCTTCCTGTTACTCTAATATTATTGCCTTTGCTCACTTTCATCACCTCCCCCTCTTTTTCACACACACACACACACACACACACACACACACACACACACACACACAGCCTGTCTGATTCTTCTCCATCTGAAGCATCCCCCATTACTATTTCTAGATTTCTAGATTTCCTGAAAGGAAATTTTGTTCATATCTAACCCCACCTGAGCTTTCTACATAAAATTAAAATTTAGACACTGGTATTGGGCCCTCCCTAGCCTTGTCTTCAATCGCTCCTCCATCTACCTTCACCTATCATGAAAATGTTGGGCTTTATGTCACTACAAACATTGTTTTCATACCTCAAATGCTGCTTCCCCACCTCCTTTTTTTATCTAGTGGACTTAACACTTAGTCTTAACTAAGAGTCACTGGAAAACAGACTCACTGAAACTAGTTACAATCTGTTGGTTTATTAGATACCACTGAATTGTATTCTACATGACTTCACCTGGCTATGGGACTCACAGGCTGGCCTAGAACTGACTAGCCTAGTGTGGCCTTAAACTCATGATCTTCTTGCCTCTCAAATGCTGATATTATAAGCATGCTTAGTGTTAATTTTTTTCAGGCGCTTGTCCTAATTCCTTGGTGCTCTGTTTGTTCCTGTGGAGGCCTCAGATGCTTATGGTGATCGCGGTTTACTTCCTGCTAGCATGTACCTCTAACAGATGTTGGATGAATGGGTGAATGACTTAAAGCCGAGGCTCTGTCTATATACTTTTTTAATGTGTGTATGCATGCTTGTAAGTGTGCATGCAATGTGTACCCACGCGTGTGGAGGCCTGAAGACAGCCACAGGCATCATTCTTAGCAGTGCTGTTCACCTCCTTTGCTCACAATGAAGCTAGGCTAGCTGGACAGCAAGCCCCAGGCTTCAGCGTGTCCTCGATGCCCTGAGGCTGGCACGTATCATCACGTAGCTCTGCCGGTGGAACTTCCGAATGGGTTCTGACTTGGAACTCAGGTCTTCCTGTTTGCAAAACAATCACTTTACCAACTGAGCTACCTCCCCTGACCACTGTTCCCCGTCATTTCTTTGTCTGAGGTGAGATCTCACTCAGCTCCAGCTGACTGGGAACCTAATCTATAGCTCAGGATAGCTTTGAATTCACAGAAACCCACGTACTCATCCTCACTGGTCTGAGCTACCAGTCCTGGTCTCTCCTCCAAGTGTTCCTGACCCTGCTCTGCCATTTGTCTAAACCAGTCTACTGAACTGTGACTGAATTTCTGCCTGATGTGGGAGGCAGAAATACTGCTAATCCTTCTACTGCTGATTTGTCCAGCTATGACTGTCTTCAATAATAACATCCCCCTCTCTGGCCTCCTGCCTTCTGTTTAGCTTTCTTCCAACCCATCATTTACAGCACAGAGGAAGTCCTTTACTGTCTGTGACAATTTCCCTGCTTTCCAGTTCCAGCAGCCACTTTCTATTGCACAGAACTCCCATTCTTGGCATGCCTAACTACTTCAGTTTCATTATCTTCAGAAGCCACTAGCCTTGGCTTTTTCTGTCCTCTCCTCTTAGAATATGATCCCTCTCTTAGTTACTTTTTTGTTGCTGTGAGGAGGCACCATGACCAAGGCAATTTATAAAGGAAAGTAGTTATTGGGGCTGAAAGTTTCAGAAGATGAGTCTATGACCATCATGGAAGAAGCATGGCATCTGGCAGGCAAGTATGGCCCTTGAGCATCAGATGAGAGCTTACATCCTGATCCACCATGTTGCAGAAAATTATTACTTCTAGAGAGCTCTAGTAACCCAGCCAGCCCTCAGATAACTGAAACAGAGTCCTGTTGATTTATTTAACAAGCTTTAAGGACATAACTGGGCAGGTACAGTTTAAAATGATTTTGTAAGCTAGTCTGGCTACCTCCCAGCCACACTCCCCAGGTTACTTGCCAATATATGTCCTATCCAGGCTGAATCTGCTCCATCTGTCTGTTCTCTCCATCTTCCTTCTTCTCTTCTGTTCCTCCTACCTGTGGTCCCTACCTGAAACTCCAAGCTCTAGAACCAAAGTCCTGCCTACTTCTCTTCTGCCCAGTTGCACGCTTTCCAGCTTCTTTCATTAACCAATCAGAGATAATTGGGAAGCAAAGTTTATACAACAAAGCCTGATGTGCATGAGAATGCACTCATCTGGACTGTAACCAGATCTTGGGTCCAGAGTTTAGCATCTGAATACACAGAGCACCAGACCAATACCCAACACCATAAACATGAGGCAGAGAGGGCAGGCGTTGCAGTAGGGGGAGAAAGGTAACTGGGAATGACATAGTTTTTTTATTTTATTTTTTTTCGCAATTTTTTAATTATATGTCCCGATTGAAGCCCCCTTCCTCAACTCCTCCTCATCCCCCCCCCCTACCTTCCTCTTTGCCCCATCCCCTAACCCTAGTCCACTGAAAGGGGAAGTTCTCCTTTGCCATCTGCCCATAGCTTATCAAGTCTCATCAAGACTTCCTGGATCCTCCTCCTCTGTGACCTGGCAGGGCCACATTGCTGGGGGCAAGTGATCAAAGAGCAGGTAACTGAGTTCATGATAGAGGCAGCCCCTGATCCCCTTACTCAGAGATCCAGAAGGAGACTGAGCTGCTAACCAGCTACATCTGAGCAGGAGGTCTAGGTCCTCTCTATGCATGGTCCTTGGTTGGTGCATCAGCCTTTGCTGGAATCCCTGAGCCCAGAATTTTTTACCTTTGTTGGTCTCCTTATGGGGCTCCTGTTCCCTCTATGCCCTTCTATTCCTCCCCCCCCCCTTCTTCCACAAGACTCCCTGTGCTCTGCCCAAAGTTTGGCTGTGAGTCTCAGCATCTGCTTTGATTTCCTGTTGGGTGAATCCTTTCAGAGGAACACCTGTGGTAGGCTCCTGTTTCCTCTCTTCCACCGCCATGGTGTCTATCCTGTTTGCCATTCTGAATGAGATTTAAGCATCCTCCTAGGGTCTTCCTTAGTGTTTACCTTCTTTAGGTCTGTAGATTTTGGTATGTTTATCCTCTATTATACAACTAATATCTGCTTATAAGTGAGTGTATACCAGGCCTGTTTTTGAGTTACCTTACTCAGGATGATCTTTTCTAGTTCTATCCATTTGCCTACAAATTTCATGATTTCTTTGTTTTTAATAGCTGAGTATAATTCCATTGTGTAAATGTGCCACAACATCTGCATCCATTCCTTCGTTGAGGAACATCTGGGTTGTTTCCAGTTTCTGGCTATTACAAATAAAGCTGCTATGAACATGGTTGAGCAAATGTCCTTGTTGTATGGTGGAACAGCTTTCAGGTATATGCCCAGGAGTGGTATATGAGGAGTGGATCATGAGATAATGCTATTCCCAATTTTTGAGAAAGTGCCAAATTGATTTCCAAAGTGGTTGTACAAGTTTACATTCCCACCAGCAATGGAGGAGGGTTCCCCTTTCTCTACAACCTCTTCAGCATGTTGTCACTTGAGTTTTTGATCTTAGCCATTCTGATCGGTTTAAGATGGAATCTCAGAATTGTTTTGATTTGCATTCACTGATGACTGAAGATGTTGAGCATTTCTTTAAGTGCTTCTCTGCCATTCGATATTCCTCTGTTGAGAATTCTCTGCTTAGCTCTATACCCCATTTAATTGGATTATTTGGTTTGTTGGTGTCTAATTTCTTGAGTTCTTTATATATTCTGGATATTAACCCTCTCTCAGATGTAGGGTTAGTGAAGATCTTTTCCCAGTCCGTAGGCTGTCGTTTTGTTCTGCCAACAGTGTTCTTTGCTTTATAGAAGCTTTTCAGTTTCAGATTCACTTATTGATTGTTGATCTTAGAGCCTGTGCTGTCCTGTTCAGAAAGTTGTCTTCTGTGCTGATGAGTTCCAGGCTCTTCCCCACTTTTTCTTCTAACAGATTTAGTATGTCTGGTTTTATGTTGAGATCTTTGATCCACTTGGACTTTAATTTTTTTGCAGGTAGATAAGTATGGATCTAATTGCATTTTTCTACATGTGGACATCCAGTTAGACGAGCACCATTTATATGGTTTTGGCATCTTTGTCAAAAATCAGGTGTCTGTAGGTGTGTGAGTTTATTTCTGGGTCTTTGACTCGATTCCATGCATCCATGAGTCTGTTTCTATGCCAGTACCATGCAGTTTTTAGTATTGTTGCTTGAGATCAGGGATGGAGATACCCCCAGAAGATCTTTTATTGTAGAGGATTGTTTTAGCTACTCTGGGTTTTTTGTTATTCCATATGAAGTTTAGAATTTTTCTTTCAAGGTCTGTAAAGAATTATGATGGTAATTTGATGGGAATTGCATTGAATCTGTAGATTGCTTTTGGTAAAATGGCCGTTTTTTACTATGTTAATTCTACCAATCCATGAGCCTGGGAGATCT